GGGGGGGGGGGGGGGGGGGGGGGGGGGGGGGGGAATGCTGGGTAGGGTACGTTATCGATCGAGCCGAGTCTTATCAATTGCCCTATGTCTAAGCCCATGTCTCATATATTATTAGGATACAGTCATGGGTAACTTTGCCCTGCCTTTCCAGCTCAGCTTCATATCATCAACGAAATTATCCTAATGGCCCTAATTCTACTGATACCGTAAAAATCCATAATTTCATGAGCTAACAAAACTGCTAAAACCTTATGTGACGTTTTGCCCATCAGATATGTGACGTGAAAATGAAGCCAGTGCGAGGCGATATCAATCACTGCGGACATTTGAAAAAAGAGCATGTAACTGGGATATAGATGTCCACAATACATAACCAGTGCCAACAATGCACAACGATCCGTTAACATATCCAACATAGCGCCCAGTTGAGATGCTGTAAAATTGAAATTAAAAACATTTCAAAAAAAAAAAAACCATTCGTTCCAAAAAAAACCCCTATAAATTGACTTCTGAAATTTACCAAGTACAAAAAAATGATGGAAAGTAGGGAACGAAGAAAAATCGTCGGAAAACTAATGTCCTCGAAAAAACCGACTATGCTAATGTAACAGTACTACTTATTTGTCGATATGAATGTATAAAAATCTCCGGAATTACTGCACACGAAGAAGCTGGCAATGTTAGTATACTGGTTATACAATACGTTGATGTGAATTTATAAGGGGAAACTAATATATGTAAAAAATCTATTGTAAGAACCAAATGTGTTCATAAAAACTGAAAGGACCTTAAATATTTTTTTAAAACCCAAAGACGGGAAATTTTGAAAAAACATTAATCTCCAGTGAGAGTATTACCAAATTCAGTCAAGAACTGTTAGAGAATCTTAATTCATTACCTGCAGGAGTATTACGTTCACCCAGGCATCAGTACCGGTATTCCATGTTAGTGGTGTTACTCGAATGCTCTCGCAAGCTGGGTGCAGCTGTGCATAAACATAAGCGGATCCAGGACAGACTC